TTAAATTTTGTATTATTTTAAATAATGCTCCTGTTTCAAACTAGAAAATATAGTGCTTTTTTTCTCTTCTTGTAGGGCTTAACTTTGCCAGCAATTAACGCAGCGATCAGTATATGGTCACCCATAAATGAAAGAAGCAGAGTTTCAGCGATTATTTTTTCAGGTCTGCAGATTGGCTTAGTTATTGGCATGCCGATTTCAGGATTACTTTGTTCAACAGACTTCTTAGGTGGATGGCCATCTGTATATTATGTTTTCGGTACGTTTTTCTGTTACTATTTTTATTTCAACCTTTAATTTTATCGATACATATAGTAAGTAAATTTTTCAAGTTCAATCACTGTTTTGAATCGCAGGTTCAATCACGTGCATATGGTACGCATTATGGTGGCTCCTTATTTACGAGAAGCCTTCAGCACACCCGAACATTTCAAAAGAAGAATTATCCTGCATTGAAGAAAACAAGAAAGAAAAACAATCAAAGGTTAGAAAATAATCAGTTGCAACAAGTTCTGATGCAAGAAGATTACCGAATAAGTTTTATTAAATTAAAATTAAAACCAGATCAGTTCTCTTTTCAAAAATATTTCATTTCTTATATTTCTTTCTTTTTGCTTTTATACATTAGAATGATTCAAATTACAAACAGTTTCTCCGCAATTGGTTCAGCAATATTGGAAAACAATTACCTTTAAAGCATCTCTCATCATTCAATTTTTTTTTAATTTAATGAACATCAAGCTAAATCATGTTTACAAAATTAATTGAAAATTATATGAGACCTACAAGTGACGTAGTGTGGGTATCTCGAGCCTGATTGGTTGTTGAGACGCGTCTTTGTTTACGTTAGCCACTTTTCTTTCCGTTCTATTTCGAGTTAACTTCTCCCGTCAAGTATCTTTTCTCTTAAGGGTTACATTTTAAAATCCTTCACAAAGATTCTTTCACAACGATTTCAATTCTTTTAACATATATTTCTTACTTAACGCAAACAAGTCATGTAGAGCATAAAAACTCTAATTCTGCATCGAAGTTGCCAGGTGCACAAAACAAAAATATATCACGTGTTACAATAAAATATATAAGCAAATAATAAATCTAAGAAAGAATTATATTTCAAGAAATTCAATGTTCTATTGGGTGCTGCATTTAATTAACTTCACGTTAATTAGCATTCTTTATGTGGAAAAAATTAAGCTCAACTTTGACGCGCCATTTTGTTTACTCACGATTCGCTGGCACTGATGTCACAGGTCTCATGCGTGGGTATGTTTGGTCTTCTTCTCGAAGTGCAAGTACCCAATTTTCAGCTAACATGTTTTAATCTAGTTAAAAAACTTGAACTCGTTTTAAAGCCAAATGCATCATGCTAAATAAATGATGTCAAGAAACTAAAGTGGAAAGATATACTTGAAATTTAAGCACTTCTTTAGCTTCATACATTAAAAAACGTTTAAAAAGTCGATATGTTCCATTCGCACCCATTCTCAACACCAGAATTTTTCAGTTTTTTGACCAGTTAGGGAACCCTAAATGATCGACCATCTTTCGGCGGAATCCCGACCTTATAAATAAAGTATAATAAAGGCATTTGTTAGCGTATAAACCAATAAAAAACTACATTATTTACCCTGATAAGAGGAATGAATTTTTCTCATTGTTTTATTATTTATAATTTTAAATTAGAATTATATACGATAGTTGAATTCACACTCCTCATTCCAGTAGAACAAGAATCATTGACTGTGGTCAGTGCGCTGGTGGGTGATCACTTTGATCACGCTTCGAAGGGACCAAAGGAGTGTGGTATCGCTCCTCGTTAAACTGCTTTACCGTGAAATGTTTAACTTCACGCACAGGTCGTTGGGGCTACCACAACGAGGGAGCCATCCCCTCCGCACAGGATCAAAATTGTGATGACATGTCTTCGGACTATACTCGGGGATGTTTCGTCGCCAATAGCCCATAGCGCAGTTCTATTGTGACGTGAATAAACAACAACAACAAAACAATCCGCACGCTGCTTGCATTTTTATTCAGAATTTATTTTTGGTTTAAATACATAAGCTGAATTATGTTTTTTGAATTTAAAACTAAAAATAATGGTCAAAAAACGGTTATTAAAGGAACTTTATTCTTACAAGCGAATCTAGTTATTATATTTTGATTTGAGAAGCGCGATAGGAAATATCAATGAAGCTTTCATAAATCCGTGACTTTTTCATAATTTAGTCAAGATATTATTGCCAAAATATTGTATTATAATTTTTTTGAAAATAATTTTGGCATTTTGCTCTGAATAGTTTCATGTAGACTATCAAAACATTAAATGAGTAACCGATTACTGATTCTATCAGAATATAATTATAGGTTTCAAAAGTCCTTACTGGTTAAAAAAAATTATTTGGTACATATAACAGGTGTACCATTTGGGTACACCTGTTCTAGACTCTCCAGACTTAAATGAAGGAAAACGAACCGAATTAAAAAAGAAAACTTTAAAGTTGACAAAATTGAAACTGCAGTCATGTAGTTTTCTCCATTTGAAAACAGACTAAAAATTAAATTACCATTTCTTTTCTTTCATTTCCTGGCAAAGCTTCACTAAATGGTTTTTCTCGTGGTAGCCAGTTCATACTTAGCCAATATTTTTGTGTTTTTGGAACTGTAACAGGTTTTGCTATTTTTTATTCTTTCAGATGTCAAGAGAAATTTGGAAAAATATATTTACATCAGTACCAATGTATGCATTGATGACAGCGCATTTTGGTTTCGATTACGGTTTTTGGATACTGATGACAGAGCTGCCAACTTACCTTAGTACTGTTCTTCATTATAATCTGAAATCGGTAATCTTCATATACTTTTAAATTAAGTATATATTTTAATTGAACACAAATATAAGTTAGTGCAAAATAAAGTTGAAAAACCAGGGTTACAGTCTAAACAAATTTAAAAACTGGGTGTTAATATTTCCCCAGGTTGAGGGGCGGACATGTTAATCTCTAATTTTAAAATCTCTATTGGTTAGTTTTAACAAATATATTTAATTTACAACTATTTTTGGCATGCAGAAATGAATTAAAACTTTTTCCTCGATCTTTTTACATCAGGCTTAAATTTTTATCTGTTGTGGCTGCCTTAAAAAACAAGTTAAAAAAAACGAAACGTGCAGTGCAAAGTGAGTTTTTACTGTAACCTTTGTTGTTGATTTATTACAAGCTCATCAAGTTGAGTCATGGTGGCTCATGGATTTCCAATGATGAGACCCGGGTTCTAATCCCAGCGATGATTGGTCAATTCGAATTTCGCACCGACAGCGCCACAGACAATGCACCAAATAACAGTGTAGCTGACAGATATTACAACTGTAGACGGTTAAATAAGCTCACTAGAGGCTCTTAAATCAAAACACAATTGCTATCATAAGCAGACTAATAATTTCTCCTATTCTACTCCGGGAGGCACACTCCTATTTGTATTGGACTTAGTGACGAAAACTGGACAATTCTCGTATAGCTTCGTAAATATTAGTCCCATCGCTTTGAAACTCAAACTGTCCAGGACTACGATCTTGTTGCCAAATCAGCAAAAACTGTCACCAAACCGTATCTTCCGCATTATTTTATCTGGAATTTACGTTAAAATTAACCAACTTTATTGCAATATTTCTAATTAAACTTTTTATTTAGGGCTCGTTTGAGACCTCATAACCTCATAATAAAAGAACCTCATAATAACCTCATAATAAAAGAATATCCATAAAATTATACACACATTCACAAATTCGTAACAGTGTTTAGACTTATGCGCTCGTTACAAATTTCAGCCTCATAATAAAAGAATATTCATAAAACTATACACACATTCACAAATTCGTAATAGCATTTAGGCTTATGAGCTCGTTACAAATTTCAGCCTCATAATAAAAAGATATTCATAAAATTATACACACATTCACAAATTCGTAACAGTGTTTAGACTTATGCACTCGTCACAAATTTCAGCCTCATAATAAAAAGATATTCATAAAATTATACACACATTCACAAATACGTAATAGTATTTAGGCTTATGCACTCGTTACAAATCTCAGCCTCATAATAAAAAGATATTCATAAAATTATACACACATTCACAAATTCGTAACGTAACAGTATTTAGGCTTATGCGCTCGTTACAAAGTATGACTCGTAAGGCCTTGTCAAGATATAGTAGTACAGCATATAGTAGCACATGTTAGAGAAGGGCATCACAAAGATGCATCTAGAATTACCTCTGGATTTGAACTCGTTACTCGCACACCTCAGTTGGCGAATCCGTGAAACTATTCAAATAGAGAGGACCTCTTCTAATAATTTATTTTGAGACTGTCTTAATAAACTTAAAATGTAGCAAAATTAAACTTCTTTATTTAGAATGGTCTTTTATCCCCTCTCCCCTTCTTTGCTATTGCTGCTGGTGGATGGGTGTCTTCCTATATTGCTGACCACTTAAGAAAATCCAATAAGCTCTCTATAACAGCCATAAGGAAGTTGATGACTTGCATAGGTGAGCTCTCTTTATGATCTAATAATTTGTTCTCTAGGAAGTTGACTTAATAGTTTAGATAAATGAACTCTCATATTTTTCTTAATATACTAATATTAGTTATCTATATCACATCCTGCATATTAGTATTTTACAGTTGTTTTGCATTTGCTGTTGAATCCCACTTGTTCTAAAAAATAATATGTTACTTCCAATAGGACTGTTTCAAAATGATCGACAGATTTTGTAATACAATTATTTTGCCTAATGTTGAATCTTGTCTGCTCTGAAAAAATAATGTTACTTACAATACGACTGTTCTAAAATACTCGATAAATTTTGTGACACAATTATGTTTCCAAAGTATATTTTTCTAATTTTATAATATTAATTTGTGATTCAGCCATGTTTGGACAGTTTCAAAGAAGAAGAAAGAAAAGGCCATTTTTCATGTGATTGTTTCAGAGCCATCACCTGGTATAGCGAGGTTTCTATTTCTAGAGCCTTTAGGATAAATTAAATTTTGTATTATTATAGAAAACAAACACATAACAAAGCTTATCCGATAATTTGAAAACTTCTTTAGCTTCAAAAATTATTAAGATGAAAAAAGGATGTAGAGTGCACAAAATGAAGAAAAAGGACAATTCTGAATAACTTATGATCGGACAGTCACGTTCTAGGACTCAATCTTAAAGGTTTGAGAGGATGACCTCAAGTACTCTAATTTATTAGCGGGAATGATATTTTAAGTTATAAAAAACTCAAAAATCGTACTTTTTATGAATAAACATACCTGATTTTCGACGTAATCGGATTTCTGACCCTCAAAATATTGGGGGTAGACACAATCTGGGAAAAATGTTCACCATAGTTTGGTTAGGAGAACCGTCCGAAGTTTGGACCCTTTTATGTTAATTTTATTTTTTGTGTATTTCACCATATCACGTGAATTTTTTAAGCGATTTTAAAAATTTCGGCTTCCAATTATAAATTTCGTTTATTTAAAGATAATTCCATTCAAAATATAATTATTAGGAAATATTCATTATTTTATTTGGAAGTAAATTAATAAAAAGCTTTGAATAGTAAATTCTACAATATTTTTTTATCATTTCAAGGAACTTAATTTTACGAGGCAAAATACAAAATTTGAGCGAAATCAGTGGAATAGCTTCTGCGAAATCGAATTTTAAGTATACGGCTTCTTTAACCCCTTGGGGACGGGTGATTCAGAAAAGCATTCGTACAAAATCAGAATCAAGTTGCAATTAAATAAAACCAGACTTAAAAGCCA